TTTGTTTTTTGTACCCTTGTCCAGGGCAGTTTTATGAGAAAAGTACTAAAAAAAAAAAAAATTTAAAAACCCTGCATAGTTAGAACTATTGCCTAAGTAAAATTGTGCTGTATTATTCTTTCTGTGCAAAACAAAGAATTTACCAGTAATAAAAACCTGAACACAATACTTTCATATACAGGGTCCTGCACATTCTCTGGCATTCTCTACTGCTGTCGTTTCAAAAGCAAATTCCACATCCACTTGTTCAAGTGACCATCAACAGGAGAAGAGTGAGCAAGCAAGTCATGAAGAAAAAAAAAGTTCAAACTGGGCTCCTAACCTATTAAAATCTGAACTGACTTCCAGGTACCTGATGCACCGGGACCACCTGAGAGGTATTTAAACTTGTGGAAAGAGAAAGGAAGTAGCTGCTGGGCAGGGTCTCTGGGTCAGACTGTTGCTTCCCGTGGGCTCACTCTGAGCAGCTCTAATAGGCTATGTCAGCAATTTCAAAGCTGAACTAAAATGCAAGTTGTTTTTTCTTTTTTTTGAAAGATAGATGTTTCTATGCTCTACAGATGTTTTCTGTGACTGCAGGGCTTGTAAACTGAGCATACAGCCTTTAATCAAGCAGCTAAATTTTTCAGCCACAATAGGACACTTTCAGAAGAACCAGGAAATTCCACTCCGCCCAATGCCAATAGGTATTGAATAAATGAGGGCCTTCAGATTCTGACTCCCCAAAATCTCACAGCGATTACTCGAGCTATTTCTCTCGCTCTTATAATCTATACACTGTCTTTTCTTGAATGGGATTAATAGTGTCAACAAATAAACCATTTCTCATTTTTTCTACGATCAAAAGTCATCTAACACTACAGCTTGATCAACTCTCCTTTACCTCTTCACTCACTGACCCAAGAGATGCCAATTCTTCCTCACCAGGAAAGCTCAGAAAGCAGCTCACTTTCTAGAAAGATAAGCAAACCACTTCTGACTCAGGCCTTGTCTCATTAGCATCTCTCTTATCCCCACTCTCTTGGCAATTTTCCCACCAATGCTACTCCTTTTCAAGTATTGAGTACCTTCCAGAATGAACTGAAGATAATTCCTCCTCCCAGGACATCCTATAGTAAGGGGCTGTATCACTGGTAGCAGCCTTTAATCATAGCCCCAGTTCCTGTTGTCTTTCTCTCCCCTTCCCTATTTCAGCCATTTTTGGTCATTCAAGATATATTTTTGCAGGAAGATAAACTACAATTCAAGGTTTGAGGAAGTGGTACAGTACAACATATGACAGAGGGTGGTGGCAAGATGACGTTTGTGGTTAATCATGGGTACAGATGGGTGTACCATTATTTCACATATTGTGAGGAGATAGTTTCTTGTGGGCTCCAGAGTCAGACTGCTTGGGTTCAAATACAGGTTCTGCTAAGGTGGTATGACTCTGGGCAAGAACTTTTAAAACACGCAATACCTAACTATTTAGTCAGGGGCATTGACCTCTTTTCCCTCAGACTGTCAAATAAAAAAATGACAAGAACCAACACAATGGCCGTCCAGTATGAACGATCCAAAAATTATACCAATTTTTTTTTGGTCAGATTGGCAATATATATATTTTTTGGTGCTGCAGAATTTATGTGTGCCATGAGATGAAAAAAGTTGAAAACTGCCACCTTAGAGGGTTGTTGTGAGAATCAAATAATATGACATAAACTCGGAAAGAGTGCCAGAACTAAACAGCAAGCACTAACTATGTTATTTGTACAGCTGTTATTAGTACCACATATACATTTTAAAAGAATGAGGAAATTCTGTATATATTGACTTGGAAAAAGTCCATGCCACAGTGTTTTATGAAAATGCTACTCTACAACTCAACACCAGAAGACAAACAAACCAATTAAAAAATGGGCAAAGGACCTGGACAGTTCTGTAAGGAGGACATACAGATGGCCAGCCCACAGACATATGAAAAGATGCTCAACATCACTAGCCATCAGAGAGATGCAAATTAAAACCACAGTGAGAATCACCTCATGCCTGTCAGGATGGCCATGATTAATGAATCAACAAACAACAAGTGCTGGCGAGGATGCGGAGAAAAGGGAACCCTCGTGCACAGCACTGGGAATGCAGACTGGTGCAGCCACTGTGGAAAACAGCATGGAATTTCCTTAAAAAATTAAAAATGGAACTGCCTTTTGACCCAGTGATTCCACTGCTAGGAATATACCCTAAGAAACCCAAAACACCAATTCAAAAGAACTTAGGCACCCTGATGTTCACAGCAGCACTATTTACAACAGCCAAGTGTTGGAAAACCCCTAAGTGCCAATCAGCAGATGTGTGAATTAAGAAACTGTAGTCCATTTACACAACGGAATACTATGCAGCAGAAAGAACTCCTACCTTTTGTGACAGCATGGATGGAACTGGAGACTATTATGCTACGTGAAATAAGCCAGTCATCGGTGAAAAACAAATACCATATGACTTCACTTATAAGAGGAATTTAATAAATACAATAAAACTAATGAGCAAAATAGAACGAGAAGCATGGAAACATGGAATAGACTAACAGCGGCCAGAGGGGAGGTGAGAGAGGGATAATGGTGGAAAGAAGGGAAAGGAACTAGTCAAAGAACGTGTAAGAATGAGCTGCGGACACAGACAACAGGAGTGGGGGATTGACTATGAGCAGGGAGGTAGGCTGGGCAGAGGGCAAAGGGGGAAAAAGTGGGACAACTGTAATAGAATAACAATAACAATTTTTTTAAATAAAATAAACATACCATTTAATCTTTATTTAAAAAAGAAAATGCTACTGAATAACATGCCCAGTATGGGTCTGTTTGGGGAAGAAGAAACTCATAATACATGTTTACAGGTGCATCCAAAGAAGCCTAGAAAGGCACACACACCAAACACTGAACTGTTATTACCCCTGGGGCCGGGGGAGGACTTACATTTGTATACTGGTCTTTGCTTGAATTAACAAGTATGCACTAATTTTATAATTAATTTTTACATCTCTCACGTCCTGGTCTAGGAAAAGATAAGCTCCTTAGGGATAAGGAAACTGAGGCCCAGCTAGGATGAAGTAGGGCCGTTTAACTACAATCTCTCCTACATTTCTCATCTCAGATTCCCTTACAATCTTCAGAGCCCTTGGCAAATCATGTGCCTGACGAGGATCCAAACATTCTGAAACTGGTGGGTTTCCCCCACTTTCCATTCTGTCCTGCTAATCTGAGGTAATCCTTTTATTGTGTCCAAGTGGGTTCCACACTTTGTGTTTTAACAACCTCCTTTCTACCCCTATTATATAAATTTTCTCTCCATTTGCCTGCCTGTCTTTCTGTCCCTCAAACAGGTGCTCTTGCCTTGGAAAACCCACTGCAGTGACACCCCAGCCCTCCACATTCAGGTTTTTGGCAGACACAGGGGCTCCCATATACACAACAGCAGCACGGAGTATGCCTCCAAGTTATTTTATTTTGAAAGGGGACCCTTGCAACTTGGAGGCAATGTTTTCTTATTTCAGTCAAGAAACAGTGCTTTGTGTGTTGTGGCAGGCACCTTTTCCTTCTTTAGGTCTTTCCTTACACAGGTGTTTACTTTGGCTTTGGCTTTCTCCTGGAAGTTACAAAGCTATTTTGTACCTTCCCACCCCCAACGTTCTCTACTATGCTTATCCTTCATTGTGTTAATTTTTATTGTTTTAATACCCATCAGTTTCACTTCTGTTTCCCCAGTAGCTCTCACACTCCAGCCATCAATCTCCATTTATACACATTTTCTATTTCATCCCACGGAGAAATGCCTATATGTGGAAAGGGGAAGAAAAAAAAGAATTTCACATTCTAAGCAAGGCATCTTCCAGGCCACTTCCCGCACCGGAACCCAGAGTGTCGGGAACCAAGGCTACCCCGGGGTATCCGGGCCACCAGAACAGGGTCAGCATCAAAGCGCCCAGGCGTCGGAAGAGCTGATTGGTTCCGGGTGAACCAATCAGCGGGCGAGACTGTGCAGCGGCTGGGGAGGGCACAGATTACAGAGCGGACCCAGTTAAAGCTAAAGGGACAGGTGTGCCAAAGCACCAGAGTTTCACGTGCACTTTTGCACCGACCAGGTCACTATTAACCCCGAAACTCCCGTCTGCTAAATTCCACCTCCAAAGTTTCCCAGTTTCATAACGCTAAGTAGGAGGAGATACATACTTATCCTACCATTCATAAAATGGTCATGAATAGTCAATGGAGGAGAGGCGTATAGTAGGGCAGAGGCCATTAAAATCCTCCATCTCTCCTTTCCTAGTTCCACTCCAGGTCAATAAAACTCAATCGGTCCTTGAAATAGTAAATCACTCAAATGCTCGCTTATTCGCTAAAGCTGATTACCCAAAATGCTATCATTAAACACCTGGAGTAAGTGTGCCCCTTCCGAAGGACTGGGGGAAACTGTATTGGAATTTAGCGAACGCGCAGAAAGGAGGAGAAGCGAATGAGCTATTAGGCTGCAATCGGAGAAACTAACACCTTCTGAAATGTGCTACCACACACGCGAACGAGACAGCCTCCAGTTCTCGGACACCGCCTGAGGGGGCTTCTCCAGGCTCCCTAACCCCACAAACTTCGCGCGGAGGCACAAAGACTGGGGCGGGGTGGGGTGAGGGAGCGCAGATGCCCGATTTCCCTGCTGTTTCAAACTTCAGCAGAACTGTTCTACGCACTTTCAAGTGTCAACGGCCCCCGGAATCACAGATCCGTGACAGCTTTCCCACGGTCCAGCGCTTCACCCACCTATCTACCTCCATTCCCGGGCTGGAGACGCCGCGTCCTTGGGGATGGGGGAAGGGGGAGTGGAGAAGACAGAAATAGCCAGTGTAAATTAAGAGGTACCCGCCGAGGCCTGGACGCCGGCATCCAGGGAACCCTGGGGCTGAGGACAAGAGAGGAGGGCTGGAAGGGCCGCGAGGAAAGCGGGGGAGCCGCGGATGTCGCTGCACTCACTCTGCGTAGCCAGTAGCCCAGGGCAGCCGCCGGGTCTCCTTGAGGATGAGGATGGGGCGGGCGATGTGGTCGGCGCTGCACTCCACCTCGTCCTGAGACAGCCCCAGGAACTCCGGCCGGCCGTAGGGGAAGCGTAGGGGCAGGTCCGAGCCTCCGCAGCCGCCGCCGCTGTGCTCGGAGCCTGAGCTGCCAGCCATGATGCCGCCCATGAAATTGGCCACGGCAGATTTCACTCGAGTGAGCATATTACTCCGGCGCCCCGTAGCAGCGGTGCGAGCAGCAGGCGGTGGCTGGGGCCCGGCCAGGCGCAGCGCAGAGCATACAGGCTGCGGCGGGCGCCGGGCGCACTAGCAGCCGGGCCACTGGGACGCGCCGCCCGGCTCCCAGAGCCTAGCGCTGCAGGGGGCCGAGCCCCGGCCTCCCGCGCTCCCGGCCGCCGCCGCCTCCCCCCGCTACACTTCCGCAACGGAGAGACATGGAGCGGGCGGGCCGGGCTGGGGAGACGCTGCGCGCTCGGGGAGCGGCGGAGCGGCCGCAGCGGCAGCAAGTCCCTTCCCCGCCCGCTGCGCTCGACTCCTGAGTGAGCGGAACTGAGCCCACCAGGCCAGCCCGCGGAGCCGGCGGCTGCTGCCACGGCTACCGCCGCCGTCGAGTCATGTGATAATCAGGCTGCACGCGCTCCAGCGGCGGCTTCGGCCGCAGTTCAGCCCCTCCCCTGCCGGCCCGAGCGAGGCTCGCCCTTAGATCTTGACCTCCTGGGGGAGGGGGATCCGGGCAGGGTCTGTACCCGGCAGAGGGGATGGGGGCGCTGTGAGCCGGGCCGGGTACAGGTGTGAGGGGACGTCACGTGGGGCCAGGCAGCCTGGAAAAGGCAGTTAGGAATTCGTTCTCTGAGGAATGCTGCCTACACCTTTGGGAAAGGAAACTTGGGAGCTGGAGGGGAAAGAGAACACAGGTGGGATTCCAGTGGGATGCTCCAAGACCTGCAGTGGAGATAGGGAACACCTGGTGTAACAGACATTTCAGAGCTTTAAAAAACAACGTACCGTAGATGCCCAAGAATCATGAAAAGTTTTTCTCTAGGCATTTCTAGAATTACTTTACTTGTTCATTATCACCACACGCATCATAATCTACGGAGCAAACCCTGTTTCAAACCCAGGATAACTTTAATGGCGAAAAAACAAAACAAAAGAGCTCTAAGAAATCAGAAGCAAGCCCTATTTTACCTAGTACTTAAATGTTTAATAAATTTATACGAGCATTTTCTTCCAACATAGCAACAAAAGTGTCTTTTCAAAGCTGGCCCTGTTTACCATTGAGAAACTTAATGCAGCCTTTCATTTTTTCTTACTTTGAAACGTTGTTACAAAACTAAATGCCTTTTACAGCTAAAGGAAATAAAATAGAATATAAGCAACTCAATGAAATGCTAAAGGAAAAAATGAATAAATGTTTGCAACGATAAAAAAAATTTGGTGGTTTTGTGTATTAAAACAAAACAAAAATGTGAAAAACAAATGAATGTGCTTCATTAGGTGTAATATTTGTTCAATATTGGCTTAAAATATATTTTTTTTTGCAAGAGAGCTGTATCCTGTTCGTGTTTACTTACTCTGTATCCTGTTCCTATGTTTAACTACCACTTAACTTGCCAGGATTCCGTGTTACTTGTAGAATTACCCGCTGACCGCTCTCTTGGAGTTAAGGGGAAAAAACACAGGCTCTCCTTTTTCCAAAGGAGTGGAGGGGTGGGGCAGGAAGAGCAGCCCAGGTGTTGGGGCGGAGGCTAATTCTCTGAAGAGGAATTGGAATCCTTGCTCTTAGGGGAAGCCTGGATAAACCTCATTCTTTCCTTTTATACTTTTTTTGTATTTTATTTGATCTTTATTGTATGTTTTTACATCACCTGTTTGTCCCCTTTACTCCCCTCCCCCAGCAATCAGCACACTGTTGTCCATGTCCACAAGTCCTTATTCGTTTTTCCTCAATCTCTCCACCCCATATCCTCCCTCAACTTCCACTAGCTGTATTTTTAAGTCATTTTCCCCTTTGGCTATCGTTTTTCAATTACAGTTTAAATTCAATATTATTTTGTATTAGTTTCGGGTATATAGCACAGTGGTCAGATAATCATATACTTTACAAAGTGCCCCACCCCCTGCAGGATAATTCCAGTACCCACGTGGCATCATACCTATTTATTACAATATTATTGACTGTATTTCCTAATGTACTTTATATCCCCTTGATTGTTTTGTAATTACCAATTTGTACTTCTTAATCCATTCACCTTTTTCATCCATCCCCTCAAACCCCCTCCTCTCTGGCAACTCTCAGTCTATTCTCAGTATCCGTGAGTCTATTTCCATTTTGTTTGTTCATTTATTTTGCTCTTCAGATTCCACATATAAGTGAAATCATATGTCTGACTTCTGTTAACACTACTCTCTAAGTCCCTCCATGCAGTTACAAATGGTAAGAATTCATGTTTTTATGGCCAAATGATATTACTTTATATATATTTTTTAAAAAGTCTGTCCAGAAAGTATCCAGCCACACACTCTGACAAATAGAGGCATTTACTGAAGAAAATACAGAAACATTGTACATAGGACAATGACACCTCAGTCCCCTTCAAAGTAGGCATCTTGGGACCTCACACAATTCTCCCCATCTCCAACAGCTGCCCCATCATGTTTTCCTGAATCTCGGCCATCTGAAATCTGTTCCCTTTCAAAGGTGACTTAGGTTTGGGAAAAGCCAGAAGTCACAGAGCACCAAATCTGGGCTTTAGGGGGATTGAGTCACCTGGATGATTTGCAAAACACTGCACGAGACATGATGCGTGAGAGGGCATATTGTTGTGATGAAGCTGCCAATCAGCAGTTGCCCATAGTTATGGCCCTCTGAATCATCTGAATAGTTTCCACAGAGGAATGTTCAAGCTTAACACAAAATTTGATGCAGATTCATTACTCTACTCACTCAGTTATTTTGAATGCAATGGCCACACACAGTACACACGTTCACTCAACAGGACCTACTGTCCCCACTGACTCGTGCAGTGAAGCAGTCATTGTTCATGCATGCACATTCCAGTTCACTCTCCTTGGCTGCCAGGTTACATTGATGTCATGCAAACCATTCTCGTTATACTAACAATGGCTGGACTTCTTCCAGAAAGATATATACACATATACACACACATATATACATATACAGACACGTACACACATATACCACTGCTTTTTTTACCCACTCATCTATCGATGAGGATTCCTGTTGCTGCCATATCTTGGCTATTGTAAATAACGCTGCCATGAACATGGGGGTGCACGTATTTTTTAGAATTAGTGTTTTGGGTTTCTTTGGATATATACCCAAAAATGGAATCACCCTTTGGTTTTTTCATGAACTGGCACTCCAGCTTGCTATATACCAAATAAATATATAAAAAACAACAACCTTCAACCTTTAGTGAAATAACATTCCTGTCGATGAGTTCTTTTATTACTTTTCACAAAACCAATGTAATTTTATCTTGGCCTCTTTAATCTTAATTTTGGGGGCAGGATTCTAAATGATACAAAATCTAAATGAGCAAAAACAATCCTATCAACTTTGGTCTGTTAAACTATACTTCCAATGGGAAATCTCTAGGTAGTGGCTAACCATCCAACCAACCACATGCTCAGATAAACTTACAATTCTGTTTTCAAGCTTTTGTTGCAGAACAATTACCTTTTAACCATGTCCTTTGGATACCTCAGTAACTAACTTCTATAGAGATTAACATGTTCTTTTTAAAAATTTCTTGTCTGATTGATTTTCATTTTAAAAGTAGTACATGATCATAATCAAGAAATACAATCCAATAGCATAGAACTATAAATTAGAAAGTAAAATGCTCCAACACATTTCCCTAGGGAGGTCACTACTTTAATAATTTCTATAGGCTTCCACATTTTTTTTCTCTAATAGGATATTTAGCATAATTAAATTTGGTAGTATTGGCCAGATATGTGAACCAATGGTTTTTTAAGAAGCAATTCTACTATTTCTTTGTAACTTGATTATTATTATGGGAAAGTGTTGGTATACCTTTAGTTTTGCACAGCAAAGTTTATTCTACCAACAGCAGGCAAACAGGGATTCCATGCCTGTTCTTCCTCGAATATTTCTATAGTATGAGTGTTCACAGCTAATTAATAAATCTGCAACCTTATTTTTACACTCAGCTCTAAAGTCAGTGTCCCATCCCAGGATTTTCCAGGGAAATATTTTCCAAGAAATTTACTCATCAATTATGACATTCATGAAGATCAGTGTTTCAGCAGGGAAAGGGGTGGAGGGTAAATTCTGGTTAAAATGAGGTGATAATCCATTTTAGGACCCCCTGAAAAAAGTGCCTTTTCACACCTATTGCCGGTGCAAATTTGGGATTATCTATGCTCCCAAATGTAAGATTAGTGATTCCCTAAATTCGAATGGTACAGCAATCAGAAACGGAGAGAACTTTGATGTATTTGTGCCCTAATATATGCCCTAGTCAATAGGTGCTCTTCATTTTTGTCTTTCTGTGTTCTCCTTCTCCCTGGGAAATGTGTGGGTTAAAGATTTTAATAGAATATTCATTCACAGGTGAGATACATAGACCTTATAGTTGGATGTTTTTTATATAAACTAATCTCATTTCTGGGCCTATCATGCTATGTTTTTGACTATCAATGACTCTGTGTCATCAATAAGACAGTTAAAGAAAAACTCTGGATAGATAAGCCACAGAAAAGTACTATCTAGAAAAAAAGGAGATACTTCTGCTCAAGGTAGAGGGATAGGTAAACATGCCTCACCTTCTTGCACAACCACAGCAAAAATTACAACTGGACTACAAAACAAATATCACCCAAAATCATCAGAAAATCGAGCTGTATGGAAGTCTGACAACCAAGGATTTATAGAAGCCACATTCATCCATACAGGTAGGATGTACAGAGACGCAGAGATGCATGGAGGGTTGCATCCCAGGGTTCCAGTGCCAGGAAGATAAGATCCCATAACTTCTGGCTATAAAATCCAGTGGGGGTTGGGGTGACGGAAGACATTGCAGGATTCTCAACAGACTGCTGGTAAAGGGCCTGCAGCAGACTTAGGACTTACACAGACTCACTCCCCCTGGGATTCAGCATCAGGGTAAGCAACAGATGGAAGGGCACCAGTGGCATATGGAGAGAAACTGAAGTGACTGGCATCAGGGTGAGCGCTGGAAGACAGCTGCCTCCTGGGCAAAACACCAAAGTCCAGGCAGAGGCATAGCCCCTTTCCAAGCCCTCCCCGACACAGAGTCACAGCGTGGTGACTGGGGTTGCCCTGCCCTGGCGATTACCTAAGGCTCCACCCCATACAACTTAC